TTTTTAAATTTACTAAGGCTTGTTTTATGGCCTAACATATGATCTATCATGGAGAATGTTCTATGTGCACTGGAAAAGAATATATATTGTGCTGTTGTTGGGTGAAGTGTTCTGTAGATGTTTATAAGGTCAAGTTGGTGGATTATATTGTTTAGGTCTTCTGTATCTTTGTTGAGTTTCTTTCCAGTTGTTCTATCTTTCATTGAAAATCATGTATTAAAGTCTTCTACCATGACTATGGAGTCATCTATTTCCTTTTCAATTCTGTTAAAGTCTGATTTATGTATTTTGGGGCTCTTTCACTGAGTCCATAGATATTTATTATGGTTATATCTTCTTGTTCAATTGATCCTTTAATCATTATATAGTGTCCTTCCTTGTTTCTTATGGTGGTTTTTGTCTTAAAGTCAGTTTTATCAGAAATTAATATTGTCACTCCTGCTCTTTTTTTAGTTTCCATTTGCTTGATGCATCTTTTTCCAACCTTTGATTTTTAGTCTATTTTTGTCTTTCTAAGGTGTGTCTCTTGTAGACAGCATATTGATGGCTTATATATATTTTTTTATCCGGTCTGCAACTCTCCATCTCTTGAATGGTGCATTTAATCCATTGATATTCAGTGTAATTGTCAACAATTATGTATTGGTTGCTGCCAGTTTGTTATGTGTTTTTTCATGGTGTTCCTGGTTTCTTTGTTCCATAAAATTTTCTGTGCTGAGCTCATTTTGCTTATGAATCATGTTATCATTTCCTTTGTTGCCATTGTTTTAGTATTTGTTAAATATTTGGGTTGTTCTCCTTTTTAATGTGGTGTGAAGGTTTATCATTTTTCTTTGAGGTTACCCAGTAATTTATAATTTTCTCCCCAAGTTTAGACTAGTCCATTCTATTGCAACTCTTGATATCCTCACCATTTAGATGTTCTGTAGCTACACTTTTTTTTCCCTCTTTTTGGTTTGTAGTTGTCCTCATTTGCCAATTGCTGTCTCTGGTTCCCTGCTTATAATCTTGTATTCTTATTTTCCTTTGGATACTTCCATAACTGGGTTGCTTTTTGGGTTATTCCATCTTGTGTATTAATGGTTGGCTGTTGTTTGCTATTATTGGTTCTCCATACAAAGGACACCCTTTAGTATCTCTTGTAAGGTTGGTCTGGTTTTAATAAATTCCCTTAATTTCTACTTATCTGGAAATCTCCTAATTTCACAATATTTGAGGGACAATTTTGCTGGGTATATAATTCTTGGTTGGAAATTTTTTTCTTTCAGGGTTTTATATATACCATTCTATTGCCTTCTCTCCCACATTGTTTCTACTGAGAAATCAGAGCTTATTCTTATTGGTGGCTGTGGTAGTTATGTTTGTGTGTCAACTTGGCTGGGCCTGGTTGAGTGGCTGAGCAGCTGGTGGTAGTTATTCCCAATGATGAGACTGGCAGTCACCTCCATGGTGGGATCTACCACAAGCAGCTGAGTAGCTGCCTTTGGGATGTGGTCTCCTTCCTATATATAAGGAGAAGCCTTGGGAATGGTCTCTAGCTTATGGCATGCTTGGACCATGCATGTAGCCATGTTGTTGTCTGGCAGCCTGCCATGCTCTGCCGACCTTGGAACTTACAATGGACTTAAACTAATGGCCTGACATGTGGTTGGTAACATCAGGACTGTGCCTTCTTACTTGTCAACCTTGGGCTTGGCAGCCTCAGCAGCCAGCCCCTGTCTGAGTGAAGAAAAGCCTCTAGCTTCAATGGGCTGGGAGCTGGAGGCAGAGCTGAAGCCCAAGGCTGAGGAACTTTCACCCAACCCCTAGAGCTTGGCACTTTGAACTTGGGCTTAAAGCCTCCAAATTGTAAGAATGAACTCCTGTTTGTCTAAGCCATCCCATTTGTGGTATAGTTCTTGTCAGAGTGGCACTAGGTAACCAGAAAAGTTGCCCCTTGTAGGTAACTTTTCATTTTTCCCATGCTGCTTTCAGGATTCTTTCTTTGTCTTTGGTTTTGGTGAGTTTGATGATATGCCTTGGTGATTTTCTTTTGGGGTCTATCTTGTTTGGGGTTCATTGG